ATATTTAATTATTAAAAAAGAAATTTTTCTTCTAATAAGATTAAATATATATATATATATATATATATATATATATATATATATATATATTTAATCTTATTAGAAGAATAATTTCTTTTTTATTACTTTGTGATATTAAAGATGAATTATTAGTTAATGATATTTCTGATGAGTTATTTGTGACTGATCCATCTGATGAATTGTCTGATAAAAATGAGTTAGATGAATTCAAATTACTTCTGTTAAATTTTTCTGTATATAAGGGTATAAAATAATTTTTTAATTTTTCTATATATTCTTTTAAAATGTTTAAATATTTTGTATATTTGTTATAAATTTTTTCGTCGTTGTTATCATCGTTTTCCTATAAATATTTTTTTTTTTTTTTTTTTATTAAAAAGATATAAAAGAAAATTTTATTTTAATTATTATGTAAAATGAAGATGGTTAAATATATATTTGAAGAAATAATCATAATATATTTTATTAAATTATCAATACATATTTAATTATATTTTATTCAACAAATTTTAAGAAAATGAATATTTATTAAAATAAGAATAAATATAATATATGTTTATATAAAGTTTTTTTTTTTTTTTATATATATAAAGTTGTATGCAATTTTTAAAATTATATTCTTATAAAATTAATATTAATAAATAATTTTTTTTATAAATTCTCTACATTTTTTTTTTTTTTTTTTTTCCTCTTATATTATTTTTCTTATTATAATTGTTAAATGATTAAATTAACTTACAATTAATTCAATTTTATTATTACAGAAGCATAAAAAGTGAGCATCATAAGAATCTAATGGAAGAGTTTGAGCGTCTAATTGAGAATAAGTACAATTGCAATAATTGCAAATATATATATCACTTTCATTTTTTTTTTTTTGAATTTCATTTTCCATTTGTTTTATTCGAAAATCGATAACATACACAATATAGTTGTTTAAACAATAATAAGTTTGACTATTAGATCCTTTCTCATTATTTTTATATTTTTGAACTTCAATGATAAATTTATCTCTTAATAATTTGGATAAAATACTTCTTATTTTATGTTCATTCATATTAATACTATTTATTATATCTTTTTCTAAATATAAACATTCATTATGAATAAATAAATCAAAAATAACTATTTCTTCATCACTCATAAAAAATCTACTAATATATATCATCAAATATAAGAAAAATTTTTTTTCTTTATCATAAAAAATTTCTTTTGTTTTATCCATTTTTATATTTAAGAAAATGTATATAATAAAAAGAAAAGATAATATAATACAAAAATAAAAAAAATTTTCGTTTTTTATTCCTAATATCTATTTTACTGTTTTTTTTTTTTAACAAAATTTCTAAATATATATATATATATTAAATAAAAAAATATAACTAATTTGAAAAATATTAAACAATGTAAAAAATATTATTTTCACATATGTTTTTGTAATAAATTAATTAAAAGATATCTATATATATATATATTTTTTTGAAAAATATTAAAGATGTTTTTAGCATTTTTTTTATTTTAAACAATATTTACAAAAATATATATATATATATATATATATAAAGCATAAACTTTTTTTTTTTTTTCTCTTTGGTTTTCTAGTTTTAGTGTTCCTTTATATATCTTTTTTCTTTACATTTTATAAAATGTTTCTGTTAAAAGCTTCTTCGTGAAAAGCTATATTTGATATAAATGTTTTTCTTTTTAATTTTTACATATTTTTTTTTTTTTTTCAACATACTAAAATATATGATGTTTAAAATAAATTATAATATTTTCATAAATATACTTTTTCTTTTAAATTAATTCTTGTTCAAGAATTATAAAGCAAAATCGGAAGGGGTAATTAAATTGAAGTTTTAATTAATATAATTTTTTATTTTTATTTTTATATTTATTTTCATTTTATTTTTGCTTTATTTTTTATCTTTATTAATCTTTATACATGCAATAGAATAATTTTTAAAAATATTGAATGTAAGAAATTATATTACCAAGATGTGATAAATAAAATCCGTTTTTTTTTTTTTTTCTATTATTTTTGCAATAATTATGGAACAAATGGACAAAATTTTTTTTTTTTTTTTTTTATAAATAAAAGTAAAAAAAAAAAAAAANAAAAAAAAAAAAAAAAAAAATATCTTACCATCCATTTTTTTTTTTTTTTTTTTTTTTTTTTTTTAAAAAAAAAAAAAAAAAAAAAAAAAAAAAAAAAAAAAAAAAAAAAATGGATGGTAAGATATGCGTGCACATTTTTCACTTTTTTTTTCTTAACATTTCCCAAGTTCAAACAAACAGATTAAAAATGAATTGTAATTAATTACTTTAATTTCTTTAAAATTTTGTTAGTTTTCCGTAATATATGAATATTATATTTTTCAAATTTATAATTTACTAATATAAAAGAGAAACTTCATTTTTTTTTTTGTAAAAACTTTAAGAAGGATAACAAAAATTCTAACATTTCATTAAAATTTTAAAGTTGTGTTTTGTGCATTATTGATAAATTGAGTAATACTTTTTACTATAGCTGTTATTTTTTATATTTATAAAATTGTGATCAAATTACATATCTCAGAGTAGATGTAAATAAATTAAAAGAAGAGGAAAAAAAAAAAAAAAAAAAAAAGGAATACACTAATTTTTTTAAAAAAAATATATTTCAAAAATAATATGAATATAAATAAATATTGAAGTTGAAAAATTTATTATATATATTTTATATATATAGATATATATGTATATATATATATATATATATGTATATTATGTAAATGTTTTTTTACAAAAAATAAAATAAAATTTTTTTGTAAGAAATGAATAAAAATATAAAGAATGAGAGAAAATGTGATAATGAAAGAGAAATAATTTTATTAGGTTTTCTAAATATGGAATGTGTGTATGGTAAAAATTGGTTCAGTAAAAAAAATGAAATAAAAAAAGATATAGAATATAAAGCTGTGAAATTAAATCAGGCGTTTAAACATCCATCAATATTTCATGAAAATTTTGAATTTTTATCAGCAGATGATTATAATTATGTAAAAAACAATTATATATATAGTGCTATTCTTATATTTAATCCAAATTTAACTAATAAAAATTCTAATGAAGAAAAAGAAAATAATAAAAATTCAGTAAATAATTCTAAAAAAAATGTATATATGATTAGTAATAATAAAAAAAGTAAAGAAAATAAATCAAAAATTGAAAATATAAAAATTCATGAAAATGAGAAAAATACAGAAGAATGTTCTAATGATAGTCAATTAAAAGAAGTAAATAATGAAACGGAACAAATAAAAGATAATTTAGATAAAAAAAAAGAAGGAATTGGTGTTTTAGTTGTAACATGTAAAAAAATGGAGAAAATAAAAATGAAACATATTTTAATTAAAATGTTAAAAAAGGAAATAAAAGTAGAATCAACTGTTTTAAAGTGTAAAGATAAAATTTCAAACTACAATATAAAAAATAATGAAGATAATAAATCAAAAAGTAAATTAACTGAAATAAAATATTTAGATAAACCAGATATATCACTTAATATTAATAAGCCATTTGATGTAAAAAAAAATAATTTCTTTAATATGACAGCATATATATATGGTAAGGATTTTTTTTTTTTGGAATATTTTATATTTAAAAAGATTTATTTCTTTTATATATTTTCTGAATTAAATATAGATTACGTAAAAATATGTAAATGAGAATTTTTATTTAAAAAAAATAAGATAAAAAAAAAGTTTTTAATTTTGTTAAATTAGTCATTATTTTATTATTTAATGAATATACACATATATATATATATATATATATATATATATATATATATATATATATATATATATATGAATGTTAATTTTTTTTTTTTTTTTTAGGATCTTCAAATATTTTAGCAAATACAAGTTTAGTTCAAAGAGAATATTGTGATGATGAATGGGCAGAAAAATTGAGAAGGACAAAAAAAGAAAAAGCGGAAATTAACAAAACTGTAAGTGATAATAATAAAGAATCTAGGAAAGAAACTGGATTAATTAGGTCATTTACATCTTTGTTCAAAAAATAAATTATTTTTGTTTTTAACATATGTAAAAAAAAAAAAAAAAAAAAAAAAAAAATAAGATAAAATAAAAATAAAAATAAAATACTAAAAAAAATAAATACATGTATTTTTTAATGACATATATATATAATTTCTTTTTTTAAGTTTGAGTAAATTTAATATCTTAATATTAATATATGTTTTGGTTAAAATAATTTTTTTATAAATGTTTAAGTTTTTCTCAAGGCTTTTTTAATATCAAAATACTTTGATAATTCCTATAATAAAAAAAGAAAAAAGAAAAAAAAAAAAAAAATGTTTTTAGACTAATTTTAATATTCATTTATATTTGTTTTCTTTTTATCTTACTATTGTATCATTTATATATATAATATTTTGATAAATATTGGATGGTATAAAGGGATAGAGAACATATATAAAAAATTTAAACATGAGAGAATAATTAAAAAAGTAAATAATTTTAAGATTTTTTAAAAATTCTTGAATTAGTTGAAAGATATCTTTAAATAATGATAAAACATTTGTTATATTCGATGATATATTTTCAGAAAAGATAAATAATAGCACAAAATGATTTTTCATAAAATTATTAAAAAAAAATATTAAATAAAAGAATAATAAATTGTAATTATATACTAATGGGAAGTTAAAAAAGTTTATAACTATTGTGTTTCTACCTAATTCATCAAATCCATATTCATAAATAAAATAAGTATTTTTCAATTCTTTAAATTTTTCCTTTTTGTCATACATATAACTTAATCTTAGACAATATTCTAAATTCATATCTTCATTTTTATTTACTTGATTTAAATTAAAAAAATTTTTATAACTTTCATTTTCTGTTTTTAAATTTAAAAATTCAGCATCTGCTTCTTTGAATATTTCTGATGAAGAAGAATAGTAAGATGATGAATAAAAAGAATTTTCAGTAGTTAATGATTTATTTGATGAAACATAATTGGATGATGAGAAATTGTTTTCTTCAGATGATTTTGTTTCAACAAAATTTAGTTCTTTACTATTTAAGTTTGATTTATTTTTTATTATATTGTCATAATGTGAATTATCTTCATTTATCTTATCTAATTTTTTTTTTTTCTTTCTTTTCGCTTTTCTAATGCTTCTCAAACTTTTGAAAATTCTTATGCTTCTATTTTCTACATCAATAGAGCCCAATTTATTTCCTAAAATTGCTATATTAGTAGACAAGAATTTTTCCTGATCACATCGAGGAAAAAAAATAGAGAGATATTTTAATAAAAGGAAGTAAATATCATTAGAACTTGTAACAAACAAAATAGTTTTTATAGTGTTATAGAACTGTGGTAATATAATAAGAGAACGAATACTTTTTAATAATGTTATTAAGAAAATATTTATAGGAAAAAATAAGTTAAAAGATACTATTGGAATAGATAATGACTCAATTTTTTTTTCATAACATGTATATAATATTTCTTGTACACATAAATTCATTGTATTATGAGTTGCTAGAATAAATTTACTATTATATTTTGGTAACATTACGTGTAATATATATTTATGTATATTATCATAACTATTTGTTAAATATACTTCACCACTTTTTTTATTTTTTATTTCATATTTATCTTCTTCTTCTAATTTCATTAAATCTGAAGAAAATAAGTTTTCACATATATCTTTTGAGAACTTATAATTGTTATTTGCAAATAATACAATAGCTTGACTATTAATTGTAGTTATATCCCCATTATATACTTTTATTTTTTTATTAATACTTTTATCAATCATATACACTTTATTTTCTAAAGAAAAATTATGAGATTTATTTAAATTTGTGTAATCCTTATTTCTATTGTTATCATTATTTTTTTTAATACTGCCTACATCTACCTCTTTGTTTATATTATTATTATATAAGTTTATCTCTTTGTTATTTAATTCAGGTTTTTTTTTTTTTTTTTCTTCTTTTTCTTCTATATTTTCATCTTCTGTATTTTCATGATCACTGTCTTTTTTTGAATCAAAGTTATATAATGTTTCTGAATTTTCTAAATATTTATTTATTTCAAAATTTATGGGATATTTTTTACTTAAAACAGAGTAAGATTGATTATTTATTATAAAATTTTGCTTAAATTTTAAATCATCGTTGTAAATATAAACTATTTTTGATTTTTTTTTATTTTTCTTTGAAATTAATTCATTAGGCATATCTTCTAATTTATTTAAAGATCTAATGTTATTATTATTATCATCATTATTATTTTCTATTTCAGAAATAAAAGAAAACAAAAAATTAAAGTATGCTACATCAATTGTATAAATTAATGGATGAAAAGCTAAATTGACTAAAAACTTTTTTCTTACATAAAAATTTTCTTCATCAAAATTATAGTAAAAATCATCTTCTTCAATAAATAACTTTTCATGAATTTTATTATAAATATTAACATAATGAAATAAACAATAATTTAAATTATTCCAGTTCGTTATATTCATAATTTCAACATACTCCTTTTTATTGTCATCTAAACTATTAATACTATTAATACTCTTTAATTTATTATTTAGTTTCATATAAATTTCATTTAAATTTGTTTCTCTCTTTTCAAATTCAATGTCATTAATTATTTCATCAAATTCTTCTTTCAACCAACAAAATGCTTCATTAACTTTATCGCTAATAGACATGTTTAACGAATTAATATAAAAAATAAGAATATATATAATAAAATAAAAGGCAACACATTTATATTAATGCCTTAAAAATAAAATAAAAACGAAACATATTATAAAAATATATATATTAAAAAAAAAATAGGGCAACAATATAAATGTAAAATAAAAAAAAAAAAAAATTTATATTATGAAAAAGAAATTTATAAAAAATTTTTATTAATTTTTTTATAAAAAAAAAGTATATTAGTAATGTTTGAAAATTTCTTTTATAATTTTTAACGAAAAAAAAAAAAAAAAATTTAAATTCATTTTAAATAAATTAAAAAAGTACATCTATAGAAATTCCAATTCTTTATTTTTTTTTATTATTTTATATTTTTTTGTAGTTTTTTGAAAAAAACAAAAGAATTTATGTTAAAATATTCGAATAACCATAAAATAACATATAATAAATTAAAAAAAAAACACGTGTAATACTTAATTTAAGGTTCCCGGAGTTTTATTATTCAACTGAAATGAGGATATGTAATTGTATAGAATTCTATTTTCCATCTTTAATTTTTTTTTTTTTGAATATCAAATAAAAGAAAAAAAAAAAAATATTAATATATACATATATAATCTATATATTTATATATATTTATGAATATAATTAATGTAAAAAAGGAAAAAAAAAAAAAGTAATATTTATGTATTATATAATAAAAAATTCTTAGTTTTATTAAATATATAAATATATATATATATATATATATATATATATTTTTAAAAAACATAAATAGGATAATTATTGTTACTACAACAATCTAAACAAATTGAATTATTTAAATGAATGCGTGCATGTAATAAAAAAAAAAAAAAAAAAAAATTATTACTGGTTCATAAAGAATTTCCATTTTTTGAAGATTCAAATCAGAATACACAAACATTACCTGAAAAGTATGATATAATGAAAAATTATTTATAATTTTTCTGTTTATATATATATATATTTTTTCATGTTTTTATAGATATATGTATTGTCTTACAAAAGCAATTAATAATAAAAAAGAGAATATTTGAATATTGATTAAGTAGAAATTCTAAAAAAAAAAAAAAAAAATATAGATATTTTGAATAGCAAAAAAAAAAAAATGATGCTTTATAAAATTTATATTATTTCATTTTTTTTTTTTTTTTTATTTATTTATAAAATAGTAAATTATAAATACTTTGAGAAATAACGCAATAAAGTTTAAGGCACATCCACGTAAAAGGATTTTCATATAATTTTCTTCTGCTTCATGGTATAAAAATTTGTTTCTATTAAAACTATTAATTCGGTATATTAAATAATATCCTGACTAAAAATAAAAATGATTAAATTTTATTATTAATTTCTAAATCTATAATTTATTAATATATTAGTTTTTTTACACATAACAAAGATGGCAAAAATATATACTTTTCCTGTAAAAGGTAAATAAAAAAAAATATTAGTATAATAGAAAATTTTCAATCATTTTGTGATTTTTTTTTTTGAAACCTTAAAAATAAAAAATAATAACGTAATTATTCCATTTAACCCAACTAAAAAGACACTCTAAAAAAATATAAATACATATTATTAGAAAAATTAGTATACGATAATATAAAAATTAGGAGAAAATATTTATTTATATAGAAGATGTTAATAAATTTTGCTTAAAAATATAGACGAATATTGAAATTATATAAGATTATGTTTCTTTTTTTAACCATTGAATTCTCATATTTAAATAAACAAGCATAACAAATACATGCAATAAAATAAATAAAAAAAATTATTAATGATTCAACAGGCACCTAAAAAGAAATAGAAAAATAAAATATCTTATAAAAATGGAAAATTAAAAGTAAGAAATATTCACGTTTGAGTATTATACAAAAATAACATCATCTTGTAGATTTAAATAAACTAACAAATGTCCAATGTACAAAAGCTAAAAAGTTAATTAAAAAAAATATATATATATATATATATATATATTAAAGGAAAGTTAGAAAAAATATGAAATGAAAGTTTTAAAAATTAAAATTTATTTTTTTATTACTTTTATTGATAAAAAATTACATATTGAAAAAAATATTCTATAACAGTTACATGTAAATGAAAAAAAAAAAAAAAAAAATATAAAATAAATATATGTTTTTTATAATAATATTTTAAAAAAAAAAAATAGAAGATTTATTACTGAGGTATTATTTCGTTTAAGATAGACGGATTTATCTCTTCATCCTCTAAAATAAAAAAAAATAAATAATGGGGTTTATATGCTATAAATAAAAGGGAAAAATATATAAATAATATTTATAAGGATTAGAAAACCTAGTAAATTTGCATCAAGAATCTTTTTAATAAACTTATAGAAACTATACCTAAAAAATTGAGATTAAAATAATATATGTAATCTTCTTTATTTTCTCATATTACTTCTAATATTTTTTTCTCTTACCAACACATGCAAAAGAAAAAAAAAATAAAGACAAATCCAAAAAAAAATATCTAAAAATTAGGGATTAATATATATACATATGTAAACTTATGGAAACATTTATTTTCCTATATTTATTAACTTACAAGAAATATTAGATTTGTTGAAAAATGAAATATATTTCTAATACTGAAAAAAAAAAAAAAATACAAATGAGAAAATTTTGTAACCCAAATTGCATAATTATTATAAACAAAAATGTTCATTCCATCCTTCATAGTTCTTTCTATAATTAAATTTTCTCCTAACTATAAATAATATTTGAAAATAGAAAGTATAAATATTAGTTTATTAATAAAAATAATAATAACAATAATTAATGATAATGCAATATAATAATTTTAATAATATTTAATTTAGAATTATAATTATTGAGAAAAAAAGGAAAAAAAATGGAAAGCAACAGTATATATTTTATACCATTTTATAATTCCATTAATAAATTATGCGTCTAATTTGTTCAAAATAGGCAGCATTATATTCATGAGTTTTTTTATTTTTACACTTTTTATTCTTACACTTATTATTTTATTAATAAAAATGTTATATTGCTAATTTGAAATTTAAAGATTATAATTTAAAAAAAAAAAATATCACTTTTTAATTAAATAAAATAAAAATATAAAAAATAAAAAACAATTAAAGCACCAAAAATATCACTTTTTGAATGTAAAAAAAATTTTTTTTTAAAAGAGGGGATTTACTAAATAAAAAAAAAAAAAAATTTCTGTTATATTACAAAATAAATGAGAAAATATATAACTTATATTTAAAATTCAGTTTAAAATTTTTCTTTTTTCTTCTTTTTTTTATAAAAATTAAAAAAATTTACCTTTTTTATAATTAAGAAAAAAATAAAAGATATAAATATATATACATTTATTTACTTCATTTCATTATAAAAATTACAAGATAACGTTACATAATAAATGCAATATTATCTTATATTAATGAAATATAAAAAATACAAATCTTCAGTAAAAATTTTATACTGTTACATGAAGATAAAAGGGAACAATTCTGTCTGATTTTAAGATAATATTAATTATAAATAAGAAATTAATGTTGATAATCATCTATAATTGTATTCTTTAATTAAACATTAGATGTTATATATATGCACTGTTAATATTATATATTTATATATACATAAAATATATGTAATTTAAATCATATAATTGTTTAAACAAATAAAATTTTATTTTAAAAAAAAAAATATAAGAATGAAATACATAAATTATATTAAAAAAAAAAAGATATAAATAGTTAAAAATTGAATAATATTTTAAAAAAAGAGTTACAAATTGTAAAAAGCAAAATAATATTTTTAAAAAGTTACAAATTACAAGAAAGATATATATATTTAAAAAAAAAAAAAAAAAGAAAAACTGTTATGAATAGCTATATAAAAGGTGATTATTATAAAAAAAAAAAAAAAAAAAAAAAAAAAAAAAAGTGATAACTATACATAATATTCTTTAAAAAAAAATTATAAAATAAATTTGTCTTTTTTATTTAAATATAATTTGCTAGTAGCAAGTAATAGATATTCATTATATGAATAAATAAGAACTCCAATTATACAAAAAAAAACAGATAAGGAGGAATGAAAATTTAAGCATTGTTTTGAATCATATTTACAAAAAAAAATATGACTAAATAAGAATATTATTGCAACTTTAAGTCCTTTTAATATTCCAATAGATAATGAGCCACTTATTTTCATTATGTACCATAAAGTAGAAGATGTTATAAAATTAAATAAAAAGAGAAAAAAAAAACTTAACAATATAGTTTTAATACTTCCTTGTTTTTTTTTTATATTATTTAAAATTAAATGCTCAAAATTTGGAATCGTCCATATAATGGTCCATATAAAAATAAAGCAAAAGCTAAATAATCCCATTAAACATACAATATTTTGTCCTTCCATTTGTTTCATATATTTTTCATTTAATACAAAAGTTAAACCCATAATTATATTACTAAGAAATATTAAAAATATTCCTATTATTTCTTCTTTATTTATTTCTATTTTTAAATTATTTGACTTTATTGCTATACCAAATGTTATTAATAAAATTCCTAACAGTTGAAAATTATTTATTTTTTTGTTTAATAATATTTTCCTCCATATAGCTGTAAATATTAACGTGCAGCTGTCAATTATTATATATAGAGAAGATCCTGCATAAATTAAACCAATTTTTTTTAATACCTGATTTACTATATCTAATAATGAAACAAAAAATATTTTCATCCATTGGCATTCAATTAATTTTTGTTTTTTGGGAAGTAACCCAACAATTATCATAGACAAATAATGAGGTATTAAAAAAATAAAAGTGCTTGAATTTGCACATCCATTATATTTTATTATATCTATTAATAAAGGTTGAAAACAATAGCTAATTAAAAATAAAATAAATGTTGTACTAAATATAATTTCATTTTTCATCTTTTTAAATATTTACAAAAAATTTATACATTTATTTATTCTTTTTTAATGAAATATATATTTAAAAAAATGGAAAAAAAAAAAAATTTAAATAAAATATTAATAGAGTACGAATAAAGAAAAATATATTAAAAATTATATGTAATTATGTCATTAGAAAAAATATATTTTTTTAATTAATAAATAATATTTAAATATATCTACAACAATAATAGTATATGAATATATATATATATATATATATATATATATATATATATATATATATATATATATATTTTATACTGAAATATTTAAAAAGAAATTTCAAAAGAATAAAAAATACTAGAAAATTCTATGAGACAAATTTTGATTTATATGAAATATATATATGTATATGTTATTTCTAATTATAACAAAAAAAAAAAAAAAAAAATAAAATAAAAATAAAAATAATAAAAAAATATATATTTATTTATATAGATACATAATTATGGAGTGAAAATAAAGAATTTTTTTTGAGAATTTCTTAAAAAATCCTAAAACCCTTTTTTTATAAATATTAAAAATGTTGTTCACAACATAATCCAAACTTTACATAATGTTATTTATTATTTTGTTCTAAATGTATTTTTTTTTTTTTTTTTAATTATTTCAAAAAATTTTAAGCTTGTACGTTAAGAGAGTTTTACTACTTCTACTTGAAAATTTTAATAAAAATAATAATATAAAAAAATAAAATTAATTGTATCATCGTTTTTATTTAAAAGAAAAATAACAAAGCAATTAATTAATGATATATATTAGATATCTAGACAATGGACAATTTTTTCTACACAACATAATTATAAAACATTTTATAAAAATTGTATAAATTAATTTAAAATAAAAACATTATATGAAATATATTTTCATATATATAAGTATTCTTATGTTTTTAAAATATAGAATAAAATATTTAATTTGACACAAAATATTAAAAAAAAAAAAAATAAAAAACTAATAGCAAATATGTTAATATGTAAAATAAACAAATATAAAAACAATTATAAAGAAAAATAGAATTAACAATTTTTATTTAAATATATTAAAATCTAAAATAAGATATTGATAAGTACATTCATAAATTTATTATATAAGTTTAATGCGCATCATTTTTTTTTTTTTCTATTTATTTTAGATTAAAAAAAAAAAAAATTTATGTTATTAAATTAATAAATAAAAAAATAAGTAAATAAATAAATATAGGTATATATATATATAAGAAATAATTTATATAAAAATTAATAAATAATAGTATTACTTTTTATAACTTTATAAACCTTAAAATCTTATTTTATTATATAATATTTTTTTTTTTATTTTATTTATAAAAGTAGACTTTTTTTTTATACATTAAAATATATATATATTTTTTTAAATAAAATTTCAATACTTACATATATTTAAAATCAAACAATTTTTTCCTAATTATAATATAATATCTAACTTCTATATAATTATAAAAATTATAATAATAATATATTTTTTTCTTTTAAAAAATTTTATAAATATATATATATATATATGTATATAATATTTTTTAATTAAAAAAAAAAAAAAAAAGGAAAAAGAAAATAGTAATACATGTAGAATCGTAGAGTGCATTTGAACATTAAAAAAAAAAAAAAAAAAAAAAAAAAAAAATAAAATAATACAATAAAATTGAAAAAGTAAAACAAAAAGATAAAATTAAAATAAATGAAGTTTTCCTTTTTTTTTTTTTTTCCTATTTTATTTTAATGTTTCTAAGTAGAAAAAATGATTCATAAAAGTGAAAAAATAATATAAAACATAGAAGAATACTTAAAAAAAAAAAATAAAAATAAATAAATAATTCAAGTATTTAATTGCTGTTTGTTCATATTTTAATTAATTTAATACTTTATCATATTGACACATTTGCCAAAATAATAGGAGGCAAAAAAAAAATTATTAAAAAAAATATAATATAATAGAATAATATAAAATTTTATATACTTATTAGATATATATATATATATATATATATATTTAAACAATGAAAAGAAAATATTTATGTGGTCATAATCGTCCATTAACTCACGTAAATACTAATTATGATGGAGACTTGTTATTTACAACTGGAAGAGTTAGAAATGGAAAATAAATAAATGAATAATATATTTTATTATTATTTATTCAAAAATATTATATTCATAAAAATAAAATATGTTTATTTAATTAAAGTTTATTGAATCTGTATTTATTTTATTTATATGTTCATAACTTTTTTTTTTTTTTTTTTTTATAGGATAAAAAATTTATATTATGGAGAGTATCAGATGGAACTCAAATAGGTTATTTTTATTTTTATTTTTATTATTTTTTTTTTTTTCATTTATATATGTTTTACATTATATTTATTAAAACTATATTTTTATTTTATTTTTTTTATATTTTGACGTATCTTTATTTTGTTTATATATTTATAGCTAGATGAGTTTAAATATATTAATTTTTTTTTTTTTTTTTTTTTTTTATTAGGGTTATATGAATGTAGTGGAGCTGTTTATAATTCAGATGTTACTTATGATAGTAAAAGAATAGTGTGCTCATCTGCAGCCAATAAAGTTTTTTTATTTGATGTTTACACTGGAGAAACATTGAAAATTATTGAAGAAAGTGGACCAGTAAGATTTGTTGAATTTAATAGAAATCCGCTAGATCAAAATAAAATAATTGTCGCTCATGACAGGTTAAAAGCTGATCATAAAAGATTTATTAAATTGTATGATTTAAAAAGTGATAATTTAATATGGAAACAAGAACATGAAAGTAGATGTATTCAAGTTAGATGGTGTTTATTTGATAAAATAATTTTATCAGCTCATGAGAATGGAGAAATTATCATATGGAATGCTGAAGATGGTCATCAGATAAGAAAATTTCAAGCGCATTCAAAAGAGGTTACAAATTTAGCTTTTGATAAAAACAGGATGATAATGTTAAGTTCTTCAATTGATGGTACTGCTATATTAAGAGATGCAGTAAATTTTGAAATAATAAATGAATATAAAACAGATAGACCATTAAATACATGTGATATATCTCCATTATTTAAAAGTGAAAATAACCCAAAAAATCATATAATATTAGCAGGTGGACAGGCAGCTGAGCATGTCACAACTACAGCCTCAGGTGAAGGAAAATTTCAAACCCTACTTTATGATATTATACATGCAAATGAATTAGGAAGTATTAAAGGTCATTTTGGTCCAGTTCACTCTATAAAATTTTTGCCACATGGAGATGGTTTTGTTTCTGGTGGAGAAGATGGTTTTGCAAGAATATATCATTTTGACAATGACTATTTTATAGGTAAATATGACTAATTTATTTATAATACAAGTTAAAAAAAGAAAAAAAATTAAGACAAAAAAAAAAAAAAAAAAAGTTCTAAAGTGTTAAAAAAATAAAATACTTTAAAATTTAAAAATAAATATAATATTAAAGAAAATTAAATCATGCTTTTTTAATGTTATTAATCCTAATTATTAAAAAAAAAAATATATAAGAAAAATTTTATGAAAGTAACAAATTTGTTTTATATGTTTATAGATGAAATTTCTGTAATGTTGCTGTTATAGTTATGTATTTTTATCAATTTTATTTGTCTATTTTTAATTTTGAATATATATATATAATATTTTTTTCTATTCTTTTAAAATTGGTTACACATACATATATATATGTTTTTTTTTTTTTTTTTTTTTTTTTTTTTTTTTTTTTTTTTTTTTTTTTTTTTTTTTTGATTTATATATATATATATTTATTTATTTTTCTATATATATATTTTACCGTAAAAACATAAAAGAAACATATATATAAAATAAACTTAATTTAATTAAATTATTATTGATATTAATTATCCATAATATATAGATAAAAAATGTTGCACAGGAGATCCCTTTTTATGATTTTTTAAGTACTTTGCTGGTATTGTATTTTTTGTGTCTCTACTAATTACAATGTTTTTTTTATATTTATAATCATTTAATATATAATTATTACTATTTTTTATTTTTGATATTTTATCACTTTCATTTTTTGAGATACTTTCTTTTAAAGAAATATCCCTGTTTAATAATTGGGATTTTTCTATATCAAAAGTAATATATTCTTTATTTATTGGGTTACTGCAAAGAATTATATATTTTTTATTTTTCTTATTTTTCAATAGTCTAATATACCGTTCTATTTTTTTAGTTATAATTTTATTGAATAAATAATCTCGTACATTTTTATCATCGAAGAATTTATTTAGTATAATTATTAAATCAATGAATTTTCTACCAGATCTTGAGGTAGTAATTGACCATAAATATAAAAATATTTTAAGTAATTCTCTATTAAAATAATTTTCATTAAGTATAAGAAGATTTTCAAAATAAGAAGTATTGAAAATACTATTTACTGCAATATATTTGCATGAAGATACTTTTATATATTTCTTTTTTTTTATTTTGTTTTTATTTAATAAAAATTTATAATTATTTTTTGAATTTTTTAAAAAATAAATCAAAATATACTTGTATAATGTAGGATAATTAAATAATGCTATATTTTTAAGTATAAAATTGAAGTATTCTACAGGAATAGTACTTTTTTTTAGAATTAATAGATAAAAGAAATAATGATATTTGTATTTTAAGGAAATATCTTTTTTATTTAGAAAAAAATTTATTAGATATTTTAGTAGTTTTTCTTCTTTAAAACCTTTACTATAAATAAATAAAGTAATAAAAAATATATAGTCTAAATAAGAAGGGGAAATAAAATAATATTTTTCTAAGTCTTCACATATTTTGTTATTTATTGCAACTAGGATAGAATTATGTACAAATTCCTGTCTATTCAAAATTTCACATAAAAAGAATATTTCTTTGTAAGAAAATTTTTCTATAATTTCACTAAAAGATGAGAATAAAATACATAAACTTTTTAATAAATTACTATTATTAGTATCATTATCATAATAACATTTGTTATTATTTCTTCTATATAATATGAATTCACTACCATTCCAATCCATAGATACATTTTCTTTATTTATATAATTATCATTTTTATGTATATAATTCAAATCATTTTTATTAGAATAAAATAAATTTATATAACCAGAAGAATTATCACTAAATTGTTTAAGTTTATTTCCCTTATATTTATCTTTTTTGGAATTTTCTTTGATACAATTTATATAATTATTTTTATATAAAAAAGAAAAATTAAAATCATGTAAAAAAGTATTATCTACGAAATTATAATTGTAAATGTAATTATAATGGGTGTCATTATAATTACTTAAATAAGTTATGCTACTATTACTATTATGTTCTAATTCATTAAGCAAATTATATTCATAATCTTTAAATATTAACTTAAATATCATTTCAACATTTTCTATGGAAAATTTATGTATATTATGTAAAAAGATATTTAAAAAAGCTATTTGTTTGCTATAGTTTTGATATAATTCAGATAATTTTAATAAACAATTTAAATCATGAAAACTTAAATATACATTTTTAAATTGATATTCATATATATTTATTTTATCCTTTATAATTTTTATATTTAATTCATTTAATAAATTAAAATAATATAAAATTTCTGAACATTCATATAAAGTTACATCAAAATTATATTTCAAAAAAATAATTTTTATTTTTTTTGCTAATTTTTTTATTTCAGGGTATACAATATAATAATTATGAATATATTTAAGAATACTTAATATATTTTTTCCACTTAATTCAATATATTTATTATATTCCTTATTTTCGTCATGTGTTTTTATTTTTCTTTTTATAAATAATCCTGAATGTTCATATTTTTTAAAAAAATTATTTCTTGCATATAATAAACTATCTTTATTTTCTTTGTCAAATTCACTTAAATTTTTATTTTTTGTATTTATTTCAAATATGTAAAAGAGAAATATATTCCAATAGTCGGAAAAAGGGTTTTCTTTCAATGAAAAATAGCAAAGTGATTCACATATTAAGCTAATATCATTAAAAGAAAAAAAATTTATTCTATCAATACAATATCTACTTAAAAGCTCTATAAAATTTTTTTCAGAACAAATTATTTTATCTGCATATATTTCTTTAATAGTGTGAAGATAACTTAAAGTAGTATTACTTCTATTATTATTTTTATTATCATTATTGAATTTATTTACTTCTTCAAGAGATTTACTTTTACTTAAATTATTGATATCACGATATGTGTTTTTCACTAATATTAAAAATATATGAAGAAAATGCCTTGGTTCAATATTTGTGCAAAAATATTTTAAATAAATAAAAAGGAAGTTAAATAAGTTGGCATTTCTTTTATTTAAAACTTGTATTGCTATTGCTAGTAAATACACATTTATATGATCAAAGTTTTTATTATAATAAAATAATTCTTTATTTTGATAAGTTAAGGATTTGTTATTATTTTCATTATGTGATGAATAATCATTTATATATTTCAAATTAAATTTGAAAATCAAATTTTTTATATTACTCCATATATATTCATTTTTAATTCTTTTTTTTATAATTTTATTAAGAATTTTACTTATATCTTTTTCGTTCAAATATGCTTCTTCTTTTTTAAATAAATAACTTCTTAATATAATTCTTTCTTTATCTATTTCCTTATCAGATATTTCGTTCAATTCTTTAAATTTATTATAGAAATTATTTTTATACTTAAGTAAATCAATATTTTTTAATTTTTTGGTAGTATTATTCAAAGTTTTTAAGCTATTTTTCATAATAGCCATAATACATAAAAATAAAATAAATTATTCATTTATGTAACTATGAATTTTAATTATTTTATTTAACAATTTTGAAAACAAAACAAAAAAAAAAAAAAAAAAATAAAATAAATAAATAAAAAATAAATGAAAATATATGTATAATAAAATATAACTAGATTATTATATTTTTTTAAAATAAGGTAAAATTATTAAAAAAAAAAATTAATATATGACAAAATATATCAGATGTATGATTATATTTATCAAAAATATCATATGCTAATTTGTTTATAACAAAAAAAAAAAAAAAAAAAAAAAAAAAAAATTAATATAAAAATAAAATATTAAAATAAAAATATTAATAATATATTTGAAAAAATAAAAGAATAAAAGTATTTCTTAAAAAAATGTCATGATTATAGATTTATTATAATGAAACTACATATAAAAATAAATAAACTTGTAAAAAGCCATTATTAGAAATAAAAAATATAGATAAATAATATATATATATATATATATTATAACGAAATGAAAATTACAAATTAAAAATTTTTTTTAAAAAGATTAAAATATTTTTTTATTTAAAATAAAATTTTTCCTTTTTTTTTTTTTTTTTTTTGTTCATAATATTATGATGACATAATCTTTTATAAGTGTATATATATGTAAATTATCAAACAATTTCTTTTTTCTTTTTTCTTTTTTTTTTTATTATATTTATGTTAAAGATATTAATGTGTTAAATATATATTTAAATAAAATTTTGAGTTGGAAATATTTATTGATACTTTGTTTTCATTTTTTCACATCATTTAACATAATAGATGTTGTTGCAATTTGTTCTGCTAAATAAGATATTTCTTCAGGTGTATTGTAAAAATATATTGAAATTCTTGAACTATCAGGAATTTTTAAAAAGTGTTTGTGTAACAATGTTGTACAGTGATTCCCTGATCTTATACAAATATTTTTAAAATCTAAAAAGGTAACTAAATCAAAGGAAGAAAATTTATTTGACCATAATGGCAATATTCCAACTTTTTTCAAGCCAAATCTTTTAGTATTATGAATATAAATCTTTAAATCTTCTACAGAACTATTATCTGTATTATGTGTATCATTTTTTATGTTTGTTAAATCACTATGTGTATGTAATGAATCATTATTTTTAATTTTTAAATCATTCGTATTTAAATTAAAGTAATTTTTTACTTCATCGATATTATTTTCTATACTGTTATGATAATTTTGCACATCGGAATTATACCTTACATGATCATATTTTTTTGAAGAATTTGTTAAAGGTAGCTGAATAAGTTTGTGTTTAAGAAATTTTTGTAAATAATAAATCAATAAATCATATAAATACATTTCATATGAATAACAAAAATTCCAATCAATTTTTTGTAAAAATTGTATAGCAGCACCCATCGATAAAATACCTGAAATATTTTGCGTACCTGTTTCAAATAAATAAGGAGGAGAAACAAATTTTGATTTATATTTGGAAACATTTGTTATTATATTGCTTCCATATAACAGTGGCTTAAATTTAAAAGAAGATGTTAAGGATTTTTTCATATAAATAAAACCACTTCCTAATGGGGCACAAAACTTGTGACCTGATGCTATTAATATGTCAGGATCTGAGTTATTTGATTTCATTTTTTTGATATCATATTTAATATGTGGAAAACTTTGTGCTGCATCTATAATTATGATTATATTAGAGTTTATTTTTTTTACTTTTTTAATAATTAAATTTATATTTTGTATATTACCAAGTACATTAGAAACATGACTAATTGATAAAACTTTTGTGTTGGAATTAATATTTTTTTCTAATTTCTTTATATTTATATAACCACTTTTTTTTAATGGTATATATTTTATTTTTCCTTTTTTACGCCTTATTATTTCTTCTTGCCATGGTATAATATTTGAATGGTGTTCTAAATATGTTAAATGAATTTCATCATCTTTTTTTTTAATAATCTTATCCATTATCATTTTACATACTAAATTTAAACCATAAGTAGCACCATTAGTAAAAATTATTTCTTCTCTACTATCACAATTAATATAATTTTTTATTATATCTCTTACATTTTCATAATTATTTGTTGCTTCTAAGCTAATCTTGTAAATACCGCGATGGATATTAGAATTCTCATTTTTATAAAAATTTTCTATTTTCTATATAGACAAGAAAAAAAGAAAAAAAGAAAAAATGGAAAAATGAAAAATTGAAAAAATGGAAAAATGAAAAAATGAAAAATTGAAAAAATGGAAAAATGAAAAAAAGAAAAAAAGTGACTGGATTTATTTTTTAGTAACAAGTAATGCATATAAGTCATTACAATGATTTCAAAAAAAAAAAAAATGTAAGAATCTTGTCATGAATATAATGTTTATGTTTAATTATTTTTTTTTTTTTTTTTTTTTTTTGTTAAATATATTAATGTATTTCTTACTTTTATAACAGAATTTGGTTTATGTGTCGTTGCTGCACTATCAAAGTAAATAGGACAATCTTTTCTTTGAAAGAAAGGAAACTCATTTCTTATATTTTTAAAATAATTTATTATTTTACTATCAATTTGAGGTTTTTCATTTTTTGCTTTTAATTTAATATTTCTTTTCAAAATATTTTCGAAAAATATATTTTTGTTATTTAAATAAGAATTAGCCAAATGAATTAAACATAAAATAAATACAAAAATATTCATATTTCTATAACATAGTTTTTCTAATTTATTCAAATAAAATGATATATATTAATAAAAATTTAATACATATTCACATAGAAAAGAAAATTAAAAAAATTTTAAAGATATAATAAAAAAAAATATATATATATATATATATATATAGATATATATATATAATAATATAATTCTATTTAAAAAAAATTATTTTTTTAATTAAAATTATTCAAAGGTGAGATTTTAACATATTTAAAAAAAAAAAAAAAAAAAGAAAAAATAAAAAAAAAAAATATAAAATGCAAATATATAATCATTATTATTTTGAAAAAATTTTATTATTTATATATTAGTTTCAAAAAAACTTTTAGCTTCACTTAAGCAAAATTCAAAGTTTTTAAAGAATGAAAATGCCCAAAAAATTTTTACATTTCTGAAATGTTTGTTAATTAATTTTTTGAAAATTTTATCAAATTTTTCATTATAAGAAAAGACATCATAATTATTACTTATAACCTTAAAAATAAAAATAAGAAAAAGAGAATTCATAATTTTTATTTATACTTTTTAATATGCAACCATAATTTTTTGTTTATTATTTTATCATTTTATTAATAACATTTCTACAAATATTATTATAATTATATATACAATATATTTTTAAATGTAAAATATGTATTTTATGAAAATTTTATTACTAAATCTGGCTTTTCTTTCACTTTTAAAATATTTTGTAGAAAATCATTTATTTCATTTATTGATTTATTGTCATTCTGTTCTTTGCTTAAAAATCTTAAACTAAATTAAATGGGAAAAAAAAAAAAAAAAAAAAAAAAAAAAAAAAGTATGAGTGGTATTATAATTTTTAATAATTTATTTTTTATATACCTTGTTTCAAAAATATCTTCTTCCGAATTTTTTTTTTCTGAAATGTTTTTATTAAATTGTGGGAATATGTTATTATCATATAATAAAGAAATTAATTTGTTTTTTTCGTTTTTTTTTATTAATAATAAGGATTCCTATAGCATTATAAGTACAAAATGAAAAATAATATAGTTTTAAATTAAAAATAAGTTATATATATATATTTAAAAAAAAAAAAAAATAATAATTTTACTAGAGAATATGAGAAGGGTAATACATTTTTTTTAAAACAAACATTTGTTATTTTAATTTTTGTTGTACGGAAGTTAGATAAATATTTTATTATAATGTTTTTCTTTTTATTTTCTAATTTTGATTTTTTTAAAAAATTTTTTAATTCTAATGGATTTAAGCAAAATACTACTTTCTTACATTTTAAAACTTTTCTACCTAAAAATATCTTTACGAATAATTTTTTTAAAATATATAATCAACTATTAAATTTAAAAAATATATAGAAATTAAGGAATACTTTAATAATATTTGAATATAATACCTTTACTTTATTTTTTTTTGATTTTATTTGTAAATTATTTATATTATTTGTCAACTTTATATCATCACTTAATTCTAAATTTTCTATTAGTTTTCTAAAAAAGTTTGAAAACATGAAAAACAAAAATTTATAGGAAGTATATGCAGATGTATATATAGGAATCTTTTATTTTTTTTGTTTAATATTGGTTCTTCTTTACTTTGTTAATATTTCATTTCCATCTTTAAATGTAAATATTTTTTTATTTTTAGAAAAAATAATAGAATTATTTTTATTACAAGATAAAAGTGATTTTATTAAAGATTTTTTATCTTTTATTTCTTTCATTAAATTAGGAAAATACGAGCTAAAAAAAAAAAAAAAAATAATAATATAAAGAAAATTAAAATAGTAAAACTAGAATTTCTATTCTATTCTATTTATTTATTAATTTTTTTTTTTTTTTTACTTCATTAATACATATTGAGGAGAATAATTAAAATAATGGTAACAATAAGGAAAAATTAAATTTTCACATATCTCTTTATCAAAATATTTTAATGAAAAACTGTGTAAGTTTTCACTCTTGAAAAAGGAGAAAAAAATTATTTAAATAATATTAAGAGGAATGTATAACAATAAAAACAAAAAAAAAAAAAAAAAAAAATTATAAATATAAAATAAATGAATAAAATATATAAGGTACTATCATAAATACACACAGAAAAATTTCCTAAAATGTGAACTTCTTACTTTTTCAATATTTATGGTTTTATTAAAAAAATAATCTTTGAAAAAATAATAAAAAATTCTAAATAAAAATTTATTAATTTTGTAAATATTTCCATTTTCATCTAAATAAGAAATATTATTTGAATATTTATTTCTCTCTAAGACTGTAAGAAAAAAAAAAAGTAAATATATATATGGGAGGAAAAAATAAAGAAATAAAAATATGAGTATTTTTATGGATATTAAAAAGGATATTTTTTAGATTAGGTAAAATGTTACTTTTTGTTTCAATATTTAAATTCATCAAAAGTGATGGAAATAATTTAGAATTTTCACTTAAAATAAAAGAGTAACAACCATTTTCAATAATATTAGAATCATGAAAATAGGTATTAATATAATTACACTTTTTTTTTATTAGTAGTATATGCGTTCTTAATTTAATTCTTTGCATAAAATAGGCTAAACATAATGAATCTATCCCATTACCAATTAAACTATTTATAAAAAAAAAAAAAGAAAAAGAAAAGTATATTATAATTATAATAATAAAAAAAAATTAACTCTATTCATAATAAGATAAAATTTTTTTATCTAAAATATGTATTATTTTATGAAATATTTTTTCAAAAAATATATTCATAACATTTTATCATATCTTTTTATTAAATATTATATTCTCATATATATGAATAAAAAAAAATAAAAATAAAACTAAATGTGATAATATATAACTAATATATATATATGTATATATATATATTTATATTAAAAAAAAGTGTTTTTAAAATTTATATATATATATATATATAGTTTTTAAGATAACCATATAGTTTTTCCCATTCTCATAATTTATTTTTAAGAATTATTTTTTTTAGAATTGAAAATAAAAAAGAAAAATATAATCAAAAATTCTTATTTTAAAAATTTTTTTTTTTATTTAAAATTGTTCTCAAAATATTTACAATTAAATAAAAGTATCTTGATATAAAAGTATAAAAAAAGAATATTAAAATTTTTATTCACATATTAAAATATTGAAATATTAAAATTTTTATTAAAATATTGAAATATTAACATTTTTATTAAAATATTAATATATTAAAATTTTTATTAAAAAATTAAAATTCTAATTCTCCTTGTAAACTACGAAAAAACATTTCTTTACCATCAACCTGTTAATATTACAAAAAATATAAAAAAATAAAATTCATAAAAATATTTAATATAATTAAATATATATATATATATATAATATTAAAAAAAAAAAAAAATATAACTTTCATTAATCCTCCTTTAAGTCTAATTTTCCAATTGTTACTTGTATTCCTTCTACCACAAGGTTTTGATATCTAGAAAAAAAAATATTAAAAAAAGAATTAAAATGAAATGATAAAAAAAAAAAAGAAAAATTAAAAAGAAAAAGAAAAAATAAAAAATATTATATTTTCATACTTTTCAATATTTTTTTTTTTTATATTCTCCCTTAATTTGTTATTTTATATATATATATATATACTTTATTAATTTACTTAATATTTCATTTTTTTCATTTTTTTTTTTTTTTTTTTTTTTTTGTATTATTTTATTTATCTTTATTTTTTTTTTTTTAATTTTTTCTATTTTTTTATTTTATATTATACTTTATCACAAACTCCTATTATGATATTATTTGTTGGTGGATCAACGTCACTTAAGTCGCTTATTGATATATTATCTAAATCATTTAACTCATCTTAATAATAAAAAAAAAATATATATATATATATATATTTAAATATAATAAAAGGTACTTAAAATATATTTCAAAAAGTTGAAAAAAAGAATCTTAAAATTAAAAACCTTCTTCATCATCTTCGACTATTTCTTCAACTAAAAAAAAGTAAAGATAAAAATAAAATACAAAATGAAAAAAAAAAAGATAAAAAGTATAAATATCCATAAATGTATAGTGTAATTTAAATTTACATTCAGTTATTTCTTTTTCTTCAACTTCTGCATCTTCAAATTCATCATCTTCTAAGTCATTATTATCTAAAACATGAAGAAATTAATAAATTAAAGTTTATATATATATAAATATGTATATATATATATATATGTATATATATATGTATATACATACTACTTAAGTTTATTTGTGTTTCTCCTGTTTCCTTATTTTTCCTATTTTAAAAAAAAAATAAAGGGATAATTACAAGATAAATAAAAATATATACGAGCAAAAATGAAAAGTAAATTTATAAGTTTTTTATAGAATATTACGATTCTATTTCTTGTCCCTAATAATAAAAAAAAAAAAAAAAAAAAAAAAAAAAATA